AAAAAAAAAAAAAAAAAAAAAAAAAAAAAAAAAAAAAAAAAAAAAAAGGAGAAGGAGGAGGAAGAGGAGGAGGAAAAAAGACCTGTGCAAGAATGTTGATATTATTCATAAGGTGGCTTGGAACGTAGCCCAGTGGTGCCACATCTGCCTGGCAAGCACAAGGTCCTGAGTTCGATCCCTGGTACTGGAAAAAAAATTATTCATAAGAACTTCAAAGTGGTAATCCCAGTGCTCTGGAAGGCTGAGGCTAGGGGATCCCAAATTCAAGGTCAGCCTGGGCAACTTGGTGACTTTGCCAGGCTCTATCTCAAAAGAAAGAAATAAAAAGTCTGAGGACATTCAGAAAGCAAGACTCACTACCTACCCAGCAAAGGGTAGCTCTCGTTTCCTTTGGCCCTGAGGTTCGCCATGCCAAACACACTGAAAAAGAAAGAGGAGGTGTCAGACTGCAAGCGGAAATTCAAAGATAACGGGGGATTGGTGTTTGTTCCCAGATGCTCTTTTAAATCTCTGACAAGAGTCTAGGGCCCAGCTCAAGGTTTGCAAATGCCAACAGGAGGGAGGAAGAGAAGGTTCTGCTTGGTCAGGGAGCGTACAAACCACCTGCACCAGCTGTTACCTGGAGTACCGTTTCCACCAACACTTACTGAGTCTGCAAGAGCGGAAGAGACCCCTTTCCAGGGAGACAAGATGCCCAGTACAGGGCCCAACACCCCTGAGGTGGTGCAGTCTCATGTTCCAAAAGATTCTACCAATTTTTAAACAACAGTTCACCTTTTCTGGCCTCAAACTCAAGATCCTCCTGCCTCAGCCTCTCAAGTGCTGGGACTTCCAGTGCTCACCACCATACACAGTTCAAGATGCTGGATTTTTATCCTCAGCGCTGGCAAAAGAGATGCGCTGGGTGTGGGGCACATGTCTGTGGTCCCTGGGGAAATGAGACAGGAGGATCACAAGTTCAAGGCCAGCCCGGGACACTAGAATTTCAGGGAGGCCGAAAGGACGGGGGTACCCTGTGTGTCACTGCAAGCAATCTGAACACTGTCCTCAACATGATCGGAAACAACTGCGAGATTTTTAAACCCCAAGTGACATCCACACGTCTAAGTGGGCCTTTGCAGGGATGCAGTTCATTAAAGACCTGGAAGAGAAACAAGGGCTTTTGCTCTTTCGCCCAAACGCAGGCCTGACCGTGCATTCTCCCATGGTGTGCAAAAACCCTCAGATGAGCGGATTCTGCGCCTGTTCGCGCAATCTTCGAACCGTCAGCCTCGGACTTCCAGGCTGCAGGGCAGAAGGGGTCTCCCCTGGGGCTGCGGCAGCAGCAGGATGGAGGGGAGGCCAAGGGCCTTGAAATGTGGGCACGGCCCGGGGGAGGACGTCCTTCTGAGGCGGGGCTCTTCGTGGGTGACCGTCACCTACCCCAGCAGGCCGCTTCTCCCGCCGT